ATCTTCACCACATTGGATACATTTTTTTCACTTTTATGGTTGTCCCCAACTTCCCTCACAGCCATAGTTGCCTCATTCTTCCCTTAGTGCCCTCCTCCTTCATTCGGATAAATTTCTGCTGTGCCTCCTGAATTTTCCTCCAGAAAAATCTTGCCATTCCTGCTCCATCATCTTCCCTGCTAGGCTCCCCTTCCAATCAACTCTGGCCAGCTTCTCCCTCATGTCTTTGTAGTTACCTTTAGCCAATTGTGATACCATTACATCCACTTCCAGCTTCTCCCTCAAATTGCAGAGTGAATGCTATCATATTATGGTTACTGTCCCCTAGGGATTCCTCACCTTAAGCTCCCTAATTAAGTCTGCCTCATTACACATCTAGCGTTGCCTGGCCTGCTGTCTTCCTCCAGCTCCACACTGTGTTATCCCAAAAAACCATCTTGTCCACATATTCTTTTTCTTGACGTCCGCTACCAACCTGATTTTCCCAGTCCAACTGGGAAGTCCCAGTTGAAGTCCCCATGATTGCTGTAATAGTGCCTTTCTTATCACCCGATTTATTTTTCTTCCCCACGTCCTGACTGCTGCTAGGAGGCCTTAAGATAACTCCATCCAGTGAACTCTTTGATATTCTCTCTGCTGATCGAGACCCCTATCTCCTCATTCTACCATGATTACCAACTTCCATCCTACTCCTTCAATGGCCTTTTCTACTTCTCAGCTCTTCTTCTTGTATTCCTCCTAGTCTGATCCCCCTCAGTCCCATCCCCAATATCTAAACATTTTCTCCCTCACATTATCATTCAGCCCCTTACTCCTCCTCCAACATTTTGAAGCAAGAAAAAGGCTATTAAGGAGGAAGTAGTGTGGAATTGAGCTTCAAGCCGTGATCTCTCTTGAACTTTGATTTCTCATTTCCCTCCTTTTAATAATCTCTCCTGAAACCCACCATGAGCTGCGAACAATTGCTCATTGCTGGGACTGTTTCTGTACTAGCAGCCAGCCAGTCTGTCAATACCTCGGCTGGTTGTCAGGAGGAAAGCAAACAGGGAAAAAAAAAGGAGCTATAAATATGTGAATTTATTGGCAGAACCTCTGGGTCATCTGCTGCAGCTCATTTGCAACCTCACTCAGATTATTGGGACTACATAATATTGAATGGCATTAAAAACTTTTCAATGATTACAAGGTGGCAACCAACATTCATACCAGAAAGTGCAAGGCAATGACTGTGTGTAATAAGAGACCATCTCTGCTGGACATTCATGGCATTACCATGGAATTCCACTAACAACATTCTCAGGGTTACAATTGACTAGAAACCGAACTAGACCAGTCACACAAATATAGTGGTAACAGGAGTAGGTCAGAGCCTGAGAATTCACCTTGTGACTCCCCAAAGTTTGTCCATTATTAGGCACAATTTAGGAGTCTGACAGAATACTCCCCACTTGCCTGAGTAAGTGCATCTCCAACAACATTAAAGAAGCTCAACAGCATACAGGACAAAGAAGCTTACTTGATTTGCACCTTGTCCATGTCAAACATTTAAACCCTCCAGTGCCAATACACTAATTTCAATATGTACCATACATAAGCTGCAATGCAGAAATTCAGCAAGACTGCTTGACACCTTTGCAAACCATGAACTCTACCACCTAGAAAGACAAGGGCACAAGATACATGGGAATGTTACCACCTGAAAGTTCCTCTTCCACTACCCTGATCTGAACTATAATAATCTTTTCTCATTGTCACTGGGTCAAATTTCTGGAACTCCTTTCTAAACAGCACTGTGGGTGTAGCTACAGTCTACAGCGAATCAGGCAGGGGTAGTTCACTGCCACCTTCTCAAAAGGCAACTAGGAAATGGTAACAAATAAAATGTAGGAGCAGAAACAGGTCATTTAACCCATTGAGTCCACTACAGCATTCCATGAGGTCATGGCTGATCTGATCATCCACACCTCCATTTTCCTGAATTTTCCCTGTTACCCTTAATTCCCTTACAGACTAAAAAAAGCCCATCTCAGCCTTAATGACCCAACATCTACAGCACTCTGAGGTAAAGAATTCACAGATTTACTGCCCTCTGAATGAAGATATTCCTCATCATCTACCTTAGATATGTGACCCTTTATTCTGACATTATGCCCTTTGGTCACAGACTCTCCCACAAGCTGAAACAATCTTCCCACATCTGCTGCCAAGTCCTCTAAGAATCTTGTTTCAATAAGGTTGCCTCATTCTTTTAAACGCCACTGGGTACAGGACCAACTTATTCAACCTTTCCTCATAAGACAGTCCCTCCACAACTGGTAACAGCCTAATGAGTCTTCTCTGGACTGCCTCCAATGCCAGTATATCTTTCCTTAAGTAAAGGACCCAAAACCGTTCACAGTTTTCGCACTGTGGTTTGACTAGTGCCTTGTGTAGTTTTAACAAGATCTCCTTATTTTTACATTCTATTTCCTTTGAGATAAAGGCTGACATACCATTTGCCATCTCTATTACCTGATGAACTTGAACGTTAGCCTGTGAAGCCTACGTCATGTGCAAGAATAAAAAAAGGGATAGTTAAATAGATGACTACTAGATGTCGAAATGACAAATATTGCACTGAATATTAATGCCATCTATTTAAACTTTACAAACAGCATGACTTATTTTTATGTACTAAAATGAGGGCCATTGCCCCACTTAGCTCACCCTTCCTTGTAAACAGTTTCAAATCACGGCTTTTGAGTATATAAAACGCTTGTAGCTTGTTATGAAGACTGAGACACAATGGAGTAAAAGAAACAGCAATGTGAGTAGAGGTATAGCTAGGAGCCAAAAACTGAGTAGTGTCAAAATGGATTGTTTTGGAATGATCATAGGGGCAATGGCGAATCCTAAATTTATGCAGGATCCCATTTTGTTTCTCATTTATACAAATGATTTTAATATTGAGAACAGGAATTGATTCAAAATTTACTGCTACAACCAAATCTTCAGATATGGCAAACACTTTGGGCAGATAAAAGCAGTTGCAGTTCAAAGCTGAAAAATATGCAGTACATTTTTTTAGAAAAAAATGTGAAAAGAAGCATAAACTAACACCAAGATTATCACAACAATAACTATTCACAAAATATAGGTTTGGCCATATTTCTGTTCTATTTCCTCCCTTAATTCTCAACATCATGGCTTGAGAGAGGATATTCCTGTTGGACCATTTCTCTTGTACACAAATTGAGGATCCTGCAAAGGCAAAACTGGTGGTATTTCTCAAGTGCCTCGAGGCGACTGCTGTAGGTTATTCAAGTTTCTAAAGCACAATAGCTCAGGGATCATGTTTGCCCAGTAAATTATTAATCTTGCATGTAAGATCCTGGACCTCAAACACACTTTCCCTTGGTCAAAGGCTGAGATGACCCAATAGAAGCAACGATGAATGTTGTCATCCATGCCTGACTTCAAGAGGATGCTCCCAAGACATGGAAAATTGTTGGCCATTCACTTATAAACAGTTCTGCTGGGCAAGATATCATTTGTATGCCTGATGCCAGACTCAAGAAACAGCTGGTATTCCAGGAACTTGATTATGGCAGAAGACTCTCAGGCATGTAACATAAACATCTTACGGATGTCCACAAAGTATCCTTGAAGAGGAATAACATCCCTAGCTTGCAACTAACTAATAGGGAATTGTTCATTTCAGAAGGTACCAAATACATCAAGAAGTTTGGTCAAGGACATGAACGGCAAAGTCAAGGTATTGGGAATAGGGAAGATACCTCCAACAACTCTTCACCCTGACCATCCAAGCACCATATTTTTCCACATGTGACAGATTAGTTTGTACATTGGAATCATCTGCCATCTAGGAACCTATTAAACCATAGTGGAAGCAAGTCATTCTTGGTGCAGAGGAACTACCTAAAAAAAAAAAAAAAAATGCCTGCAGTTCTAAACATTCCATTGCAGGAAATTTCTAACAGCCCAAGAAACATATTAACAGCTTCTAAAAACTGCACAGCCAAGGTTCACTAGAATTATACCAAGAACAGGACTTTTTCAAAACATGAAGGGGAGGAAGTCTAATAGAGATGTCTTTCATTTAAGGTTAAGTTTATAAAGGGAAGCAAGGAAAAGGCCTGAGAATAGGATTTAACTCTGGTCAATACTGAAGTTGACCTGAAGTTTCCAAAATATATGGGAATTTTTTTCCTATCAGTATCTTACTGACACTGGACAACTCCTTGCAAGCTCCTACAGCAGATCTAACTAACATTTCTTATACCGTTCTACACTTTTAAACTTAAATTCTAAATCTGTAAAAATCACTAATAATTTTATTTTAAATCTAATAACAGGTTTGAAGATCCTACGGTCATCCAGACCGGAGTACAGGCGACACTGGACTTGCAGACCCAGGACAGACCCACCGACTTCATGCAGGACCCAGGAGAACATCGACCCGACCCTTGCAAATAACATAACCTGCAAGGTAATCTGTATACCTTTAAGTCTTCTTGATCGGTACATCCTTTGCTTGCTGTGATCTGCCTGTACTGCTCGTAAACAAAGCGTTTCACTGTATTTCAGTACTCATGACAATAAAAATCAACTACTTTTGCTTAGCCCCATATTTCTGGCCGGCTCATCTTTTCATCAAAATTTTTATAATACCATCGAGGGAATCCTTTGATATGAAGATTCTATGGATCTTAGCATTTCATGAAATACATTTTTTTTATTAAACAATGCACAAGTTGTTGCAGTTCTGAGAATCACAACTTTCTAATTTGGAATTTCAATCTCAGCATCACTCTCAACTCTGGTGTAATACAGTTGGATCTAGATTAATATTTTCTTACCAAACTCCAAAGTTCTTCAATTCTGCAGTTATCTTATACTATTGATGTTACAATATGCTACCTTTTGCAGCCAAAGTAAATCAGGTAACAGAGACGCTTATGTACTTGCCCTGCAGTAGAGATACACATCACAGGCAGAAATGAAAATCATATGCATTATTTTCAATCAACTACTGTACATTGCAAAACCTGGTTTGCACTTCACCCAATGTTATAGAGTCTGTGGGGTAGATTGTCCAGCACCAGCAATCAAGACAAATTGTCAAATATGAATTAGCCAGTGGTTAGTAGCAACTTAACACTAAATATTGATGAGTCCATGATGTAGATCACATCTTCCATATTTAGTCTAAACCACTGGCAGATGGTTTTTGCCGTAGCAAATTGACAATTTTAATTTGCTTTAAGCCAGTCAGATCCTCTTTGAACTCCCGAGATGCTACTTACACAGAACATATAATATTAACTCTTTTAATTTAAAAAAATATCGATAAATACAACCTTTGATTTTAAAAAATAACCTAAGAAAACAGAAACCTAAATTAGCACAGTTATTGGAAATGAATTACAATGTGCACACAAAGATACAGACTGATTTAAAAATGACTATTTAAAATACAATTTATACATTAGTTCTAACAGAACATTTTTTGTATTTCATGGACATGGAAAATTAAGAATTACTGGACTATCTCCAAATGCTCAAAGCATTAGTTCACAATGGTTAATACTTTCATCCTGCTAAAGCTGCACTGAAACCAAACAAACCACTGAAGTAAATAAAAGGTGGGCACACCAACAAGGATTTAATAACTCAATACCTAATTCTTGATGCATGATAAACAGATTTCATTTCAAATAACATTCTTCCAATAAGATAAACTTTGACTTTCCTGCTCACAAATGATCAAGTCTGCCTGATCACAAAAAATAATTCTCAATAGCAATGATCACACCACGCCATTCACATCACTTAGGTGCTATTTGATCTGATCAAAAAATTTTGAAAGGGTCTGGTTCCACACAAAGGATATTTTCTTATGGCAAAAGGCTGTGGATGCTGGAAATCTGAAACACAGAATGCTGGAGAAACTCAGCAGCTCATCTTCTGAGGATTATACCAGACTTGAAACATTAACTCTATTTCTCTCTCCACAGATGCTGCCAGACCTGCTGAGTTTCTTCAGCATTGTGTGTTTGTCAAAGATATCTTATAGCTTCATTAAACTGGAAAAAAAAAAATTGTATTCAATTTTGTTAATACAGTGCATTGGACTGCAATAGTGACATGAAAAAGCATAGAAGGGAAGTAGTCCAATTCATTGAGCTTCCATTATCATCGTTACACACACAGTTAGCGGCAGCAGATAAACAGATTGCCTACTGACCCCTAACATAATGGTCTAAAGCTTATTGATATATTTCTTTCAAAATAATTTGTATTTTTAACTTGCTATCAAAGCAAAGTCATTGTGAAAAAATATTTTTTTGAAGAGTGCAATGCATGCAGTGGAAAAGATGCAAGATAGAATTTACATGCATTTGGAGAGGCAAGAATTGACTAGGGATAGTCAGCATGGAATGGAAAATCATGTCTCGCAAACTTGATTTGAGTTTTTGTAATGAGGTAACCAAAAAGTGATAGATGTTGTTTGCTTGGACTTTAGTAAAGTCTTTGACAATGTTCTACATGTTAGACAAATAAAAAAATTAGATCACCTGGGATTCAGGGTAAGCTTGCAAATTGGATACAAAAATTGCTTTAATAGTAGGAGAGGGTAGTGGTGTAGGGTTGTTTTTTGGACTGGAGACCTGTGACCAGTAGTGTTCCACAGGGATTGGTACAGGGTCCACTTTTGTTTGTCATTTATATAAAAGGTTTGCATGAGACTGTTGGAGGCATGGTTAGCAAGTTTGCAGATGACACCAAAATTGATGGTATAGTGCACAATGAAGAAGGTTATCAAAAATTACAAACAGAGTTTGATCAATTAGGTCAATGGGCTAAGGAGTGGCAGACAGTTTAATTTGGATAAATGTGAGGTATTGCATTTTGGTAATACAAACAAGGACAGGACTTATATAATTAACGGTAAAGCCCTGGGTAGTGTTGTAGAACAGAGAGACCCAGGAGTTCAGGTACATAATTTTTTGAAACTTGCATCACAGGTAGTGGTTAAGGGTGGTTAAGGTGTTTAGCACACTTGCCTTCACTGCTCAGACCTTTGAGTATAGAAGTTGGGATATCACATTAAGGTGTACAGGATATTGGTGAGGCTTCTTTTGGAGTACTGTGTGCAGTTCAGGTCACCCTGTTAGAGGAGGGATATTTTTAAACTGAAGAGGGTTCAGAAAACATTTACCAGGATGTTGCCAGGAATGGAGGGTTTGAGATATTAAAATAGAAAGGCTGGGACTTTTATCAGTGGAACATAGGAGGTTTTGAGGTTTATAAAACCATGACGGGCATAGATAAGGTGAATGACAAGGGTCTTTTCCCTAGGTGGGGAAGTTCAAAACTAGGGGACATATTTTAAAAGGTGAGAGGAGAATAATTTAAAAAGGACATGAGGGGCAACTTTTTTTTTAATATTAATAGATTAGTGCATATGTGGAATGAACTGCTAGAGGAAGCGGTGGATGCAAGTACAGTTACAATTTATGAAAGACATTTGGATAAGTTCACGAATTAAAGGTTAGAGGAATATGGGCCAAGCGCAGGCAGGTGGGACTAGTTTAGTTCGGGAACATGGTCAGCATGGACTGGTTGGACCAAAGGGTCTGTTTCCGTTCAAATTTTTTAACTTGCTATCAAAGCAAAATCACTATAAAAAAAAAACTATGATAGTTTCAGCCTTTTAAAAGTTTTGTATCCGGCGTTAAGAAAGCTGAAGTATAAAAAGGCTGAAACAAGCCCTTTATTCTGTTTTTGGCACAGTTTACATTGGCCATAAATGGATTAGCAGAAACAAGAGGACAGAGGATTTGAAGACAACAAACGCAGAAACATTTTTCTCCTCAGATGCAAAAAGGGATGTTACATCTGTCTTAATCAGACAAATTTATTAATCTCACCATCTAACACTTCAGTTACACAAACCTGGTGTTATTCATTATAGCGTGTTGGAACAGAAAAAAAAAATGCATCTTACACCATAACCTCTTGCGAACCTTTCTCCTGAAGGAGAATTTTGCACTAATAGCACCAAAACGTCAAATGCATTTTCGGTTTCTTTCTCCTTCAAAACTCATGAAAACAAATCAGCTACACTCAATGGCCTAAAAGAATTATCAGTGCCTCAACACAGTAACATCCACATTAGTGTTCAGGTTACACTGTTGGTTTCAGTTAAACATGAAAGCTTTCTCCACAGCCACAGGTTCCTTTGATGTTAGGATTGTGGAATACAAATTCACTAGCGAGTTTATTTTCAGTATAGTCCATTTCAGTTCCTAAAAGTGTCAACTGTGCTTTCTTTTCAATGAATATTCGAACACCTGCAAGAGAAATGAAAAGCAAATACATCTTTATTACCACTGGAAAAGTAGCATATAAGCCTCTCCTTTGTATGACATGCTTCAAGATTACCTCTTGACTCTCTCAAGTATCCCTATTTCTCATATTCATGATGCACCTTGATGATATAGTCTTGAAAATCAAATCTCAGGTTGTATCAGTATGCTGATAACATCTAACACAGGAGTGGGAAATGTATGGTTTGTGGGAGCTTTTCAGCTCTCCTTGGACCTTCACTGAGCTGAAAAACCTTGTTGGGTCATCCATGAGTTCAAGAAATATTCTCAGGAACCCAAATCAGAGACTGGGATGAGAAGGAACTCAGATTACCTATTTCTTTCTATATAGAGAGAGATCTTTTAAAAAAAAAGAACAGCATGTGATGCAAGGACAACTTACAATAGGCCCCTCAAAGTACTAGAGAAATGCCACCAGCGGTGCCTTTGCAAGATCCTGCCTTTGCAATAAGACAGATGATCCAACAGTATTATTCTTTCTCAGACTGACACACCCAGCATCAAGGTGTTGATCATTCAAAACTAGTCCACTGGGCAGGATATGACATTCATATGCCTGACAATAGATTCTCAAAGTAATTCTCATACTTGGAATTAAATCGTAATAAACAACTCCCAGAATGACAATTGAAACATTTCATGAACGTCCTCAAAGCATCCCCAAAGAGGTCAAACATACCCACTAGCTCATAGGAGACCTTGGCTGAAGATAGGCCAAAGTGGAGAAAGCTCATTCAGGAAGACATAGAACATGTCAAGAGGCTTGGTCAGGAGTACAGTGGTTGTCAAGTTGATCAGCTAATAACCAGTGGTGAATGAATAGATATTTCATTCAATTACACAGGAAAGATGCAAACCATTGTCTTCAGTTGTGACATAAAATTATCACCTAGACACCAAATTCACCATTCTCCTTGGCTGTCGGTTGGAGGCTGGTTTCACAAACATTGCACTCTGAACAAACTCAGCTCTGACCCTTTCTTCAAATTTGGTTGTGGCAACAATCAGGGCTAAACACCCATTCCCAAGGAGAATGTGGCAGTGAGCCACCTTTTTGAACAGAATTGCAAAGGTTGCAACGGGACATTAACAGGATGCAGAGCTGGGCAAAGAAGTGGCAGGTGGAATTCAAACCAGAAAAGTGAGAAGTTTTGGGAAGGTCGAATTTGAATGCAGGGTTAATGGCAGGATTCTCGGCAGTGTGGAGGAACAGAGTGATCTTGGGGTCTTCTTACATAGATCCCTCAAAGTTGCTACCCAAGTTGATAGGGTTGTAAAGAAGGCATATGGTGTGTTGGCTTTCATTGGCAGGGGAATTGAGTTTAAGAGCCATGAGGTTATGCTGCAGCTCTATAAAACTCTGGTTAGACCACACTTGGAATATTTTGTTCAGTTCTGGTCACCTCTTTACAGGAAAGATGTGGAAACTTTAGAGAGGGTGCAGAGAAGATTTACCAGGGTGCTGCCTTGACTGGAGGACAGGTCTTATGAGGAAAGGTTGAGGGAGCTAGGGCTTTTTTCATTGTAGCAAAGTAGTATGAGAGGTGACTTGATAGAGTTGTACAAGATGATGAAAGGCACAGATAGAGTGGATAGTCAGAGACTTTTTCCCATGGCGGAAATGACTATTACAAGGGGGCATAATTTTAAGGTGGTTGGAGGAAGGTAAAGGGGAGATGTCAGAGGTAGGTTCTTCACACAGAGTGATGGGTGTGTGGAATGCACTGCCGGCAGTGGTAGTGGAGTCAGATACTTTAGAGACTTTTAAGCGACTCTTGGATAGGCACATGGAGGATAGTAAGATGTTGGGTATGCAGGGTAGATTGATCTTAGTAGGATAATAGGTTAGCACAACATTGTGGGCCGAAGGGCCTGTACCGTGCTGTACTGTTCTATGTTCTATGATGCAATAGATTTAGGAGAAGGAGGCATCTGTTGCAGTGGTATCAGGTCAGGTCATAAGCAAAAGTTATACTTCATAAAAGGTGCCAGCTGATATCCTAGTTCAGATGGTTCTTGCCTCCCATGACTATTAGCTGCAAATGGTTCAAAAGTTCCTTTTCTCTCTTCTCTCCCTAAATATGCTTGAAATTGGCACAAGGTTTTTAGTCTTTTTATCTGCATCGAAGAACTCTTCTGATCTTGATACCTGCCTGTCAATGCTTACACATCAACTGTCGATTATGACCCATGGTCATGACTCAAACAGCATAACAAGCAGTCCGCCTATACTTGTGGTTCTAATTAAACCAAATCATGCAGGCAGTTCATCTTCATATCTCAAATTAACTTCATCAAGAAAAACATGTTAAAATAATCCATAACAAGGTATACACGTGTAAAAGAAGCAGAAAGCATAAAAGGTTCACATTTCTTACAGCATACCCACTGCACTATTGAGGAAGGAGTTCCAGGATTGTGATTCTGTAGCCCTGAAGGAATGGCAAAATATTTCCAAATAAGGACAGTGCATGACTCGGAGGGAACTTGTGGATGGTCATCCTCCGAGACCATCTGTTGCCCTAGTTCTTCTACATAGTAGAGGCTGTGGGTTTGAAAGGTGCTGCCACCAGTTGCTACTGTTCACCTTACATACCATTGTGCAGCCACGGTGCACATGTGTTGGAGGTGGTGGATGTTGTGCTAATCAAGCTGCTTGACTTTTCTTGGACTTGTACTCATCTGAGCTAATGTGGAATATTCTATTACACACCTACATTATTGTTGTGGGTGACAGACTGGCCTTGGGAATCAGGTGGTGAGCTAACCACTGTAGAATTTCTAGCCTCTGACTTGCTTTCTTAACCACAGTATTTAGGGGACTGATCCAGTTCAGTTTCTACTCAGTGACTCCCAGGATATTGAATATCATGAGGAAGTGACAGATTCTCATCTATCAAGCATGCTACTGGCCATTTATGATCTTAACCCTGATTATTATCCTGGTCTTGTTTTGGGCAGACACAGACTTCAGTATCTGAGGAGATGCAAATGGTACCAAGCACAAAAATCAGCAAACATCCCCACTTCTGACCTTCTGATCAAGGAAAGTTGTTTAGAAGTGACCAAAATATCTGGGTCCCATATTAGATGACTTACTTTTTGGTTGGTTCAGTCACTGCTTGCATGGTGGGGGAAAAGTTAAAACCAGAATGGCAGGAAATGGGAACCAGACTGGGGAGACACGAGAGAAAAAAATTAAGTTAGAAATGAAAAATACAGATGTGGAAAGCAAAAATGGAAGGCAGAGGAAATAAGAGATAGTAGGAACTGCAGATGCTGGAGAATCGGAGATAATAAGGTGTAGAGCTGGATAAACACAGCAGGCCAGGCAGCATCAGAGGAGCAGGAAAGCTGACGTTTCGGGCCTAGACCCTTCTTCAGAAATAGGGGAGGGGAAGGGGATTCTGAAACAAATAGGGAGAGGGGGGGAGGCGGATAGAAGATGGATAAAGGAGAATTTAGGGGGAGAGGAGACAGACAGGTCAAAGAGGCGGGGGTGGAGCCAGTAAAGGTGAGCATAGGTGGGGAGCTAGGGAGGGGATAGGTCAGTCCAGGGAGGACGGACAGGTCAATGGGGCGGGATGAGGCTAGTAGGTAGATGGGGGTGGGGGGATGCTGGTTAGGGTTAGGGTTAACTCGTCCTCACAGTTAACAACTTCTCTTTCAATTCCTCCCACTTCCTACAGACAAAGGGGGTGGCCATGGGTACCCGCATGGGCCCAAGCTACGCCTGCCTCTTTGTAGGTTACGTGGAACAATCCTCTTCCGTAGCTACACTGGCCCTAAACCCCACCTCTTCCTCTGTTACATTGATGACTGTATCAGCGCCGCCTCGTGCTCCCACGAGGAGCTCGAACAATTCATCCACTTCACCAACACCTTCCACCCCAACCTTAAGTTCACCTGGACCATCTGATACCTCTCTCTCCTTTCTGGACCTCTCTGTTTCCATCGCTGGCAACCACCTGGAAACCGATATCCATTTCAAGCCAACCGACTCCCACAGCTACCTAGAA